TGCACCTCAAAAATCTAGTAAAAGATAAGTGTCCCAAAGGTGGAAATCCTTCCAATTCATCATTTGGACCTTGAGATGTATGGATGTAAAGAAAAAAAATGAATTTCAAATATTCAAAATAATGCAGATTGTAAAAAATTTTGTAGACCGTCTGTTTTCAAGATTTTCAAGTGTTTATAGATTTGTTAGATTTACACTATTTTTTAAATTTTAAATTTCATAATTTGAATTGAACATTGATTTTTCAGGCTATTATAGGGCTTCCAACACCTGAAGTACAACTTCTAGCAAATTTTAAAGATGCAATTTACTTGTATAGCATAAGTGGACACTTTATACAAACCACACCCAATACAATATTTTTTAAAATAAATAAATAGTGACATGGGGCCACTTGCATTAATTGTAAATAAAAGGAAGAGACATGGGACCACTTACAATAATTGTAAATCAAACAAAGAGATGTATGTGCCTTGCCATGTGAAAGGCGTGTGATAGGTGTGAGGTAAATTTCACATGAACCACATTCATTTTTTGCCAAATTGATCCAAACCAGTCCGAGTTGTATATCTCAGGTTTCTCAACTGCTTCGGCATTGAGGGTCCCCAATTCATAAGAATTCAATTTGGGTATATTCTTCATTCACTTTTTTTATTTTTTTCGACATAGATATTGTTTGATTCAAGTCTCTCTCTCTCTTGCCCCACACTCATAATTTTTATCTGAATGCAATGAATATTTTGATGTTTAATGGCAAATCACTGAGGAACATCAAGGAAAGTTCCTTTTACCATGTCCAATACAATAAATTTGAACAAATTTTAAGATGAAATTAGGCTTGTTTAATGATATTATACAATGTACCTGATGGAAATCGGGTCAGTCACTTGATAAGATCACATTGCCTATGTTTCTTGATTAGCGAACTCGGGCATTTTCAAAGGGAAAATATAGTCTACACATGACTTGGATGCTTGAATGGTGTACAAGAACTTTCCCAACATTTCATGTTAAAAGGGACAAAAAAAAGGTCAGAAAAGATTGTCTTTATTATTATTTTATTTTGAATTTTTCTATAATTTAGATTTATTTGAAATTCTGGGTGTTTACTACTCTCAATCAGACGCACCGAAAACAAATATAAAAAATAATTTATAAAAATTAATTTAATTAAAATACTTTTGAATATTTTAAAGGTATTATGATCCCGTTTGTCTTTTAAGAATTATTATTCTTTTATATAGTTCTTTAGCCTAAGCGTGGCACAAATAACTTAAAACTTTCGTGTCACCCCATTTTATAAAAATTGAAATTAAAATACTATCTTAAATCATGGCCATACATTATTTTCTTCTTACCTTATCCTTTGAAAGGTGCTTGTGCAGCCTTCTAACGCCCATTCTTAATAAGATAGTTCCAAAAATTTTAAAAATATACCGCCAGTAATTTATCTTGATTAGTTTTTCAAAAGCAAAAAGGCAAAAAGAATCGTCTCGATTTACTTGACATTCTTACCTTTTTTCCTTTTTGTGTTAGTTTAATTTAAATGAAATTAAAACTCATGACGTCGTATTGTGACTCCCTGCTGACCACTGTACCAAGAGCTGCATTCCCAACTTGGCATAGTGTACACGAACGTTTGGTCACAAGCATTGGTTCACCTCTCACCATCTCTTAAGGGTGGCAACGAGCTTGGCCGAGCCCTTGTCCCCATAGGCCCGGCCTTGCTAAGGCCCTGTCGAGCCAAAAACAAATAAAGAAAAAAAGGGCCAGGCCGAGACGAGTTGGGCTAGCACCAACTTTGGCCCAGCCCTCCCTTCCTTTGTCCTTTCACATAGATGATAAATCCTAGGGGTTTTTCATATGTATCATGTGATCAAGTGGAAACTCAAACATGTTTAGCATTCCTTACATAGCCTTTCCATCTAATTAGAAGGAAACTCTCCTTGCTCTACATGTGTATTATGCCTTCAAGACTTTCTTTGCTCTAATTAGAAGGAAATTCTCATTACTTAACATGTGCATTATGCCTTCAAGACTTTCTTCCTTCCTTAGGATTGGTGCTTTGCCTTCAATTTCATGGAGAGGAAAAAAGGGATAAGATGTAGAAAAAGTCATTTTCACCTAACATATTCGCGACTAATCGACCCCAAATAGTATGCTTTAACGATGTGATTAAAGCCGTTTTATCAAGAAACTGCAAAGAAAGTTATCAAACGCTGCCTAAAACTCCACAAGTTTATTAGGAAAACTTATATTGAAGAAAGGGAAATGATCTTTTGAGCTAGGTTCTCATTTATCTCCCTTTTTTAAATGAGAACAATTTTGTTCTACTTGTTTTGAACTTGTAGACATCGAATAAAGTGACCGTTCAAAAAGAAAAAAAAGGATAGACAACCAAATGGAAAATAGGCTCTAATAGTGACAACTTCAATCACTTTTAGGTCAGGTTTCATTGCGAGGATTATGTTTGATTGCGAGGATTTGAAAATAATCTCAAAACTAGGAAAAGTCTGCAACTTTTGTATGGAAACATGCCTGGATTTTTTGCTAATTTTAGTTTACAAACTGGACGGTTCAGATCAAAATGTTTTTGACTTCTTATGATATTATCATTGTTAATAACTTGCTTTCATCCTTACAGATAAGAATCTCAACTACATCCCAAATAATACTCTCAAATAAATCTTCAATGTGCTAAAAGAGCTGATCTAAAATATATGCTAAATTGATTGTTTATTGTAAAGTAAATTGCTTATTACTTATAAAGTAAGAAATCTAATTCTAATTAGACCTTCCCAAATGATTTATTAAATAAAATGTTGGTGAAGAATATTGTTTGCCAATATTTTGTGTCGCAAAATCCCACAGAAGTCCAGCTAGGTATGACCTAAAGAAAACCGGATTTAGATGTGTTTTGATTCATTTTATTTTTAACATATTTGTCCTCTTTCTTCGATTTTTTGTATTTTTTTTAACACTTTTTGGCCTGGTCCGAACTCTGTCCAACTCAGGCCTATACATGGACTCAGGCTGAGCACTCGGCTTGGGCCTAGGCTGAGAACTCGACCCGAGCCGATCATTCAAACGCTGCTTGGCACAATTCACAAAAGCGTTGCTTCAAATTTTCATGGTCAGCGTCCATGTGCCCTTCAACCCATTAGCACAGAAATGTTAGTGTTGATGTGCACCCCTGATATGATAATCCATGACAACTTGTTTGATGGAGCCATTTTACATTGTGATAAGAGTGTGAATTTCATCTTGATGACATTGGTTATTTGGGTTTTGGCTAGCATTCTTTGAACTGGTTATGAAGTCTGTAATCTGTTCTGAATTTATACCCCTTTTCGTCTGTAATCAATTAATGAGTAGAAAATTTCTTGCTATTGAATGAAAATGCAGATCACAACGCGAAGAATGAGAATCGCTTGGGAGCTTTAATTCTCAAAAAAATTCATGAAATTCATCAATCACCAAAATCCAAAATAGTAGCGCTCGAAACCTAAAGCCAATACTTATGAACAACTTAAACAGGAGATAAATAAAATATTGAAAAAAGGTGCTGAAGGATAAGATTCGTGGCTCTGGCCTAGCGATGACAAAAAAATTGTGCACCACAAAAGGGGCAAAAACTACTGTATACAATCATAATATGTAACTTGAAAAACTTTTTTCCTTCAGCTTTATACTAAACTCATTTACAGATGTTCTTAAACAAAAAAAAAAAAAAACAAAATGATCACAACATACCGCACACTTATTCCCTCTAGCAAAAACACAGTTGGGATTAAGTTTTGGACCCAAAATTTTGGCGATAATGTCTACTTTTTATAGTGAAACAACCTAAAAAAACACAATAAAAAAAAGGGTCAAATTTACCTCCTGAAAAGAATCCCAACCAAGGAATTAACCTAGACCATCCAGTTTTCGGGCAGTGTTTAGAAACTCAATCACTTACCCTTTCCAGTTTTACCCCTTAAGACAATGAATCTAAAGAACGCATATCAAAATGATGGGATGGAAAGAATACATTAGTCTAGAATCCAATGGACTATGGAGGCTTAGCTTTGAGACACCTTATTTGCAGTGTGAGAGGCCCTTGAATTGGAACTTCTCTTGCAAACCAAGCTGAACCTCCCAAAAAGAAAACCATAGTCCAGTAGGTCATTATCATCCATTGAAATGACCCCTCAGAACATCTGGTCATCTGAAAGCTTGGCCCCCACACTCCCATCACGAAACATCATTAAAATGGGCTTTCATGATCCAATGGTCTATGCCTTTTCCATAATCCATCAAATTATAGTAATACTTTCCCTGATAACATTCCCCTCATTCTCCATTCACTCGTATTTTTCAATGATTTTCTTTAACCTAAGACCTGCCTATGCAATTATTCCAAGTAATTGAAAGGGAAATTTAGCCATGCATCATCAGGAAAGCTTCCATCTCTTTTGGTGATGGATGGTGGAGATGAATAGAATTGAAGCGTGACTGTACTGATGTAAAGTCTGTCCGTACTGGTCGACTAAAACTCTTTTTTTGAAAAATTGGGTCTACTAAATCTCTTTTATTCATCGAAAGATGAATTCCATAATCAGATCACGAAGGAGTATAAGAACAGTCACCAGTCTCCACCCTGGGAAGGATAGGATAAGTTTGGATTGCATCGCAAGGAATTTGGGAAAAACTGGTTTCTTTTCCTCCGGCAATTATCAACTAGCTACTGGTTGGTAGCATTTTCTACACAAGTAGAGCTCAAAAGGCAACAACACAAACAAGTTGTGACGGTAATCCCGTTCAAAGTGGAAGAACAAAATACTAAACTTCCTAATCGGCGCTATGTCCAAACAGTTCTATAGTATGCACCCATTCTAAAGCGAAGTTCTCTTTTTTTTGTGTTTTTGTGCAGTAAGTTTAGTTGAATTTCCATATATATATATTTTTTTGATAACTGGTTGAATTTCCATATATTTTGCAACAGATACAGACACATGAAGCTAGAAATAGAAATGCTTATGCAATTAAGAAACTGAGAAAAAGGAAGTTACACTAGGCAAAAGAAAAGATTGAAAAAGAGAAAAGACCTAATTATTTTCACTTCTTTTTCCCAGCTTTGCCCTCTTTCCTCCTTACAACCTCATCTGCATATTTGACTCCCTTGCCTTTGTAGGGTTCGGGTGGTCTCCACTTCCTAATGGAAGCTGAGAAGTCACCGACTGCACATTTATCAAAACCACTAACTGCAATCCTGGTATTATCTTCCACCTTCACTTTAATCTCTTTTGGAATGGGCATCCTCACTGGGTGAGAGAAACCAAGGTTAAGAACTAAATCGTTCCCCTCCAACGTAGCTCGATAACCCACTCCAATTAGTTGGAGTCTTTTCTCAAAGCCCTTGGACACTCCAACCACCATGTTGTCGGTGAGAGTCCTATATGCAACAAAAAAGAAATAAGTGGGCACTCTGCACTCCAATGCCTTAGTGTCACGTAAATGAAATAATCAGGTTTGAGAAAATGGTTTGATACATCATCGACAAAATAAATTGCACACAATAAAATAAATTGCATTAGAGATAGAACCTCAGGTTGGTCTTCCATGATTGTTGAATACTTTCAACAATGAGACGAACATCTTGGAATGATAACTGAAAGCATAAATGATGGAATATTTCCCTAATAAATTGAACCAATGCAACAAAAAGTAGGGAAATTGCTTCAAAGTTGACCTCCTTAGATAAGTTAATCCAAAGCAGCTCAGCATAATGCAGAAATTCGACAAATTAGATTGTACCAATCACATTCAGGAATCAAGGTTTATTGCACAATTAATATGGCCCTAAACATTGCCATGTAAGGGGTTTGATATTACCATAAAATTATCCTCAGCCATGTAGTAATGGAACACTAGAAAACTTGGAAAGCATAAGTAATGGAACACTAGAAACTTTGGAAAGCATAATGGAGAGAACTAGTTCAGTTTCACAAAATGAGGTCTACCATTGTGAGGTCTTCATGTGAAAAATGCAGAAGCATTTAAGATAAACATTTATGTCAATAGTTCCATAGATGCAGAAAAATGCCCTTTTGTTTTCTTACAAATGGTAAATGAAGCCACATTACTAGTTCCATAAGGGTCTAGTCCTAATATATGCAATGCATCCAAGGTTACAAAATATATACTTGTCACAGAAAGAGAAGTTTGCCTTGTCATCCTGCAGAATGATACCAAACAAGCAACAGACTAACAAGATATTTAGCCAATAATTGATTTCAAAGGCCAAGTTGCATGCTTCAAATTAATCAAGAATCTCTATGCAACTACTCGGGCAAAAAACTTGTGACCATGCAATCAGAGAATTTCAGAACATCAAGCAAAATCTGTAGGGGCGAATTTAGAACAAGAGAGATATTTTTTGTTACAATAGAAAGTTATTGTAAATCCAACAAGGAAGTTCACATGGGAGGTGAAGCTTCCTTCCAGTGTTCTCTGTTTTTCTCCCGTTGAAATTTATCTTCTCACCTATGATCAGTGTCAAAAAGTAGGCATTTTGAGGGCCTGGCCACCTAGGCGGCAGGGCACCTGCCTAGGGATGGGTAGGGACTATTAATTAAAATAAAAATTATTTATTAATCAATATCCATATGGCCTTAGATATCAAATATTCACAAAATAACAATTCCATTTAAAGTTTATGACGATTGACAAAATATAAGTCCAAATCAGTAAATATTCCATCTATAAATATGTAAAAATATCAAAAAAGTAAAACAAAACTAATAGGATATCAAAACGTCATACATTGTACAAAATAAGAACCAATTAGTCACAAAAGAATTCGATATAGGACTAGCTTTATCATCCAAACGAATTAATAATCAATTAATCACAAAAAAAAATCAATCTTTCAACTCCAAATATGTAAATATATCATAAAAGGAAAAAAATTTAGAAAAAGAAAAATCAATGATTCAAAACACTATATGTTATAGCAAAAAAACTCAAAACCCTTGTTCAAATATCATAATGGCATAATGCTTGTTTATTCGATCGCTGAAAATCCTCACTATTGACCACTAGAAGCTCCAGAAAACTATCGTGAAGCATTACCTTTGATTTTGGAAGAAATTGAAAAAAATTAAAAATTTATCGATCTTTTGATAAATCACAAGATAGAGGTTTTTTGGGAGTTTTTCTTTCTCTAGATGGCATGGATTTGGTTTTGGAGGTTTAGAATGTCCCCCAAAACCCTTTTCCCCCCTTTTTAAGGGGGGGAATTACTAAATTGACCGTAGCCGAGGGCATTTTTCCGCGCTCGGCAACCTATGCCGACGCGACCACCTTGACTGTACCACCTAGGCAGGCACCTAAACGCAAGCCGTCTGCCTAGGCATTTTAGGTGATTGGCAAATTTTCGAACACTGCCTATGATGCACGAAATGGCTGTGGGCACAGCTATAATGCCAAAATGTTGTGATTTTCAAAACATTTTTGAAGTATCCGACATGGATATGGCACCAATTTTGAAGTTTCCATATACTGTAGCTTTTCTTAATTTATTAGCCAATATCTTCAAATTTCAACAAAACACAAATATAAACAATGTGAACTACTCTTAGTTGACACCCCTTCCGGAATTAGATTTATTCCGGAGCCCCTAAACCCTGAAACACACTAGCCTAGTGTACCATAGGACACATTGAACCATAGTACACACCCATGCCATAGTCCAGCCTTAGAATATTCCCCAAACATTTCAAATAACCTGCTTTAGGAGAATACGATGTGTGAAGGAGAGAAATTATTCAAGAATGCTGAAACAAGAATCCATATGATATGAAATCTGACACAATTCATACAAAATTTGAAAGTACGGAACAAAATGCATGATCTAGACCAAGAAAAGGACCAGCGATGCTGACCACCTCGCTAGGCCCATTGGGCCAGCGATGCTGACCACCTCGCTAGGCCCATTGGGCCAGCGATGCACCCCACATCGCCAATGTAATCAATGGCTCAAATTGAACCGCGATGTCAGTGATGGAATTTTAGCAGGTTTTGTCTATAACTAGATCACTTTCTATCATTTTTTGGACCTCTTCCTAAACAGAACCCTAGCCCTAGCATCTTAGCCCAACAATTTCTAAACCCCAGGAAACTAAACCCTAAAGTCTCTATAAAATAAATACAATGGTTCAGCAAACCTTGAAGGTTAAAGGAGGAAGGATTCATCATCTTCAAACTGATCCAGGCCCCAACTTGAGGTGTCGAACCTAAAGGCCCAGCTTCCAAGGTATTAATCCCTTCGTCTCTTCTTTCATTATTCTATGTTATTTCTTTGTATTTATTTTACTGTTCTAAAAATCTTTTAAAATCTTCATTAGTTTTTCCTTGCGATTTATAAGTGTTTCTTTTCGGTTTAACACAGATCTAAGTGCGCCCTAGCTGACGATTTGTCAGGAAAAGGTTCTTCGGAATTGATTTCTCATAAATCATAATTTGATGGAACCCACAACTTTACGATATTTCTAAATAACAAGTTTGAACACAAATCAAACACAAATCAAGATGGGCTAGACCTCGAGTCGATTTCCACCATAGATTTGTTAGTAAACAGTTTGGCACCTAATGTGGGGCCCGTCGAGCTTAAATTTGCATAAAAACCGGTCAAAAACAATCCCAGTACTGCACCCTCGCGGTTGTTTCTGACAGGCTTGATACTAGGAATCAGAGCACTAGGAGATCTGATTGACCCACGAGGCCTGAGGCATCAATGACGCGCTTTGCATCCCTAGAGCTATGTACTAGCACGGCAAAACCGCTACAAGCAATCAACCCCCCACTAGCTCCAACTCCCCTTCGTGCCTGGATTTACCAGCCTAAGTATTTTCCCCCCATGATTATTGGTTTGGAGAATTATTAATAGAAAAAAAAAAGAAAAATTTCATATAGAACCCTAGTTCCCCATATTATTTCATGGTAGACCCTCCTTCCGTTTTTCTTTCAAGTGGCATAAGGAAACCCCTAAAGATTTTCACCATACCCCCTCATCGCTCATCTCCCTCTTTTATTGACTTTTGATCATAAAAATTAACCCCAAAAAATCTTTTTATACCATTTCAACCCAAAAACGTTTTTAATGGGTGGAAAGGGAAAAGGAGGGTTAAAAAAGTTTTTGGGTTGAAATAGTATAAAAAGATTTGTTGGGGCTAATTTTTATGGTCAAAAGTCAATTAAAGAGGAGATAAGAGATGAGGGGGTGTGGTGAAATCTTTAAGGGTTTCCTTATGCCGCTTGAAAGAAAAATATGAGGGTCTACCATGAAATAATATGAGAAATTAGGGTTCTAGATGAAATTTTCCCAAAAAAATATATTCCATGCTTTCTCTTTTATAGTTGTGATCTGTGATTTCCTGCTATAGTTTACTTCCAAAATTTCTTTTAAAAAATAAATTATAAAAAGGGAAAAAATTTAGGAAAATAGCACTTACTTTTATTTTCTGCCATGGTTGCTTTCCAATACTAAAGTTGCCACATTTATAGCTATTCTTGCGATTTGCTTGCTATTTTTATTTTCGCTTCCCTATTGTTGCCACGTCGAACACACAGGCGTGCAATTTTTTGCACTTACAAATTTTTCAAAAATCCCCAAAATGGTGATAACGTCGTGAGGGGCACCTATCCTTTTAGAGTCGGGACAGTTGGGGGTTGCGCAGTCTTAAGGTAAACACCCCACTGTGAATCCTTCCTCCAAAAGCACCCCACACATACTAGGACCCCAAAGCACTCCCATGAGGGCAGGCTTAGGACCTATATGGGTGTACCCAAACTATTGTTGTTGGAGGCAGAAGCGGGACCAGTTTGGGGAACACCGAATCGCCATAGGATGAAAGCTCCCTAGGTTTAGGATTGTTGTGAATACCTTCAATAAGTTAAGGAGCAAAAACGTAGGATACTTGGGAGCGAGATCCCATGTTATTTGGATCGAGACTTTGACATGGAGGGATTTAAGCTCCACTATACATAAAACAAGATCGAGTAATAGCATACAATAAAATTAGGATCAAGCCATTGCCCTCTCGATTCATTATCATACATCTTAGCTTATTACCAATGTCATAATTATAGTACCACAATTTACTACAAAAATACAGTCTAATCATCATCATCATCAAAACCTTTTCCCAACTATTTGAGGTAGGCCACATGAATCCTAGTCCACCATTCTGCCCTATCAAGGGTGATACCCTCAATGAGGCCTTGAGTCCCCATATTTTTTCTCACTACTTCCAACCATGTCTTTTTGGGCTTACCCCTTTTAACTCGCACCTCCTAATAGGTGATATACTAGGTCTGCGCAGCACACAGCCAGCCCACGTAATCTACTTTCTCTCATCTTATTGCCTATTGGAGCCACACCTAAGTTCTCTC